AGCTCCGCTGGAGCCGTCCACTCGTCGGCCTTGCGCAAGATGCTCGAAATTCGGGCGTAGACGTATTGCAGGTACGGCCCGGTTTTGCCTTCGAACGCCACGGACTTTTCGGGATCGAATTGGATGTCGGTCTCGCGTCCGACCATCAGCATCTCGAAGACTAATGCCGACAGCCCGATGGCTTCTGCCCGCTGTGCCAGGTCCTCAGCGGGTAGATCCGACGAGCGCTCGAGGATCGCATCACTGGCCAGCTTGACCACCTCGGCCATCAGATCGTCGGCATCGACCACCTTGCCTTCCCGGGATTTCATCTTGCCGTCGGGCAGGTAAACCATGCCGTAGCTCAGGTGCTCCATGCCGTCGGCCCAATCGAAGCCGAGCAGCTTGAGGATCGCCTTGAGCTGCTGAAAGTAGTAATTCTGCTCCGAGCCCACACAGTAGTAGGACTTGGTGAGCCCGAATTCTTTGAATTTGATGTCCGCCAGGTTGATGTCTTGGGTGATGTAAAGACCCGTGCCGTCGGCGCGCAAGACCACCTTGTCGTTGAGCTTGCCGTGTTTCGACAGCGGGGCCACCACAGCGCCGTTGTCGGCCTTGTCGAAGACACCGCGCTCCAAGGCGTCGAGGATCACCTCGCGGCCACCCCGGTAAATGTCGCTCTCGTAATAATGCTTGTCGAAATGGATGCCGAGGCGCTCGTAGGTGGCGTCGAATCCTTGGTAGACCCATTGATTCATCATTTGCCACAGCTCCCGCACCTCGGGATCGTCGGCCTCCCACTTTTGAAGCAGCTCGCGGGTATCGGCCATCAGAGGAGAGGCGGCGAGAAAGTCTTCCTCGACCTTCTTCTTCTCCCGATCCTTGAGGCTCGAGGTGTCGATGCCTTGCTCCGCCAACCAAGCCTGTCGTTCGGCGTAGAGGGCTTTGTCGAATTCGACGTAATACCGACCGACGAAGTGATCGCCCTTCTCACCCGTGGACTCCGGGGTCTCACCGTCGGCAAATCGTTGGTAGGCGATCATCGACTTGGCGATGT